TTGTTAGAGTCATAACCTTCTGGGAAAATAGCATTCATGCAAGGCAATTAGGTTTCTCGGCTGTTAAACCGACGTGCCTAAGTATGTCGTTGAACTCTTAGGGACAAAGATATGCCAATGTACAAAAACACACACATATATAGCAGAGTTTTGGAAGTGTTCCTTTAGTTGCCCAAAAACATCTACTCTCCCTTAAAATATATCTGCCTTTAAATCATGCTCTCAAGAGACAAAAATAAGCAGACTTCTTTAAAAGTAATATAGTTGGTTTACTCACAATTTTCATGTATTCAGCGTACAGGTACTTTGCATATTAATCCAGTTGCAAATAGATTTGAAGTAGTTTCACCTTTCTTAAAAAGTCTAATGGCTTCTGCGCTACATTCCGTTCCTACTGTCTTCTAAAAGGATACATCTGTTCCTATTGAAGTCTAAAGCATACAGTCTGAAAGCGTACTGTTCTAAAATAGAGTCTGAGCCCTGAACAAGCCCAGATCTGATCACATGGTCTGCAGCCCCTCCCACAACAAAGAGCTAAAGAGTAAACATCAAAGGTTTAGAACATACTGTTCTAAAATGGAGTCTGAGCCACGAACAAGCCCAGATCTGATCACATGATCTGCAGCTCCTCCCACAACAAAGAGCTAAAGAGTAAACATCAAAGTTTTAAAACATCCTGTTCTAAAATGGAGTCTGAGCCACGAACAAGCCCAGATCTGATCACATGATCTGCAGCCCCTCCCACAACAAAGAGCTAAAGAGTAAACATCAAAGTTTTAAAACATCCTGTTCTAAAATGGAGTCTGAGCCACGAACAAGCCCAGATCTGATCACATGATCTGCAGCCCCTCCCACAACAAAGAGCTAAAGAGTAAACATCAAAGGTTTAGAACATACTGTTCTAAAATGGAGTCTGAGCCACGAACAAGCCCAGATCTGATCACATGATCTGCAGCTCCTCCCACAACAAAGAGCTAAAGAGTAAACATCAAAGTTTTAAAACATCCTGTTCTAAAATGGAGTCTGAGCCACGAACAAGCCCAGATCTGATCACATGATCTGCAGCTCCTCCCACAACAAAGAGCTAAAGAGTAAACATCAAAGTTTTAAAACATCCTGTTCTAAAATGGAGTCTGAGCCCTGAACAAGCCCAGATCTGATCACATGATCTGCAGCCCCTCCCACAACAAAGAGCTAAAGAGTAAACATCAAAGGTTTAAAACATACTGTTCTAAAATGGAGTCTGAGCCCTGAACAAGCCCAGATCTGATCATATGATCTGCAGCCCCTCCCACAACAAAGAGCTAAAGTAAAACAGCAAAACACTACACACACATACAAGATAGCAATCAGGCTGAATTATGTACACAACAAATAACTAGTGGAGGCTTGAGAAGGTTGCAAAGGCTACAAAGTCCCGATTCTCCTCCAGATAGAAGAAGTGGATGAAGAACTGCATTGGCCGAAGACGGGCCATACTTCCAATGCTAAGTTAACATGCCGATGCAATAAGAGTTTGAAGAATAAACATGATAATAACGAATCTCCTTCCTCCTGAAACGTAGTTATTTATCCAAGAGAGATGTTTTCCTTTGATATTTTTGAATCTGTCTGGAAACATCCTCCGAGTTGATAGATCGTGCAAATTGAAGTTAACACATCATTGAAGGCTTTGATTGGCAATGACAACCCTATCAGCCGTGCATCTCCACGTTCCAATCCCTGTTGCAAACAATAACGGGTGTTTGTTTGTGTAATTTAGCAGAAAACGGTATTTCTCTGTGTTAACCGTGCGGAAAACCATCTGCTTTCTCATTTATTCGTAAATCAGGCAAACAGGGTTGCGTTCAGGCTCAATCTGTTAATTTGTTTCTGCTGCGTCTCACTAATGAATTGGATGTGGCTTGAAAGGAAATGGAAGCGACGAGGCAAGGAAGAAGCCCGCCCTTGAAATTGAAAATGAATATACAAACAGAAGGGAACGAGGAAGGGTTTGTGGATGGTTCATGATAGCAAAAGGAAGTCTCCAGTCCATCCCGCCGCCCAGGGATCTCATTCGCTTCGAGCTCTGAAACTAAAAGCAAACTTTTCCATAGTTCTATAAAGTTGACATTCAATTAGTATGAATCCACAATTGTATTGCACACTGGTCCCTGGTCTTGTTATCTATATAATTATGATGATGTTGTTTATTCTTTGCGTTTTTGGTTTTATTTTGCTGTAATTTGTTGTTGGGCTTGGCCTCATGTAAGCCGGCTTGAGTCCCCATCGGGGAGATGGTGGCGGGGTATACATAAAGATTATTTATTTATTTATTTATTTATTTAGAGCCTTTATAACCCGGTCTTCTCGACCTCCGAAGAGGGACTCAGGCCGGCTAACAGCAGGAAATTCATACACAAGTAGGATAAAACATAATAGCATCATAATACATTAATACATAAAATACATTAAAATACAGATCATAAAATTACAAAAAGCCAGATCGTCTAAGTAAAGTCACAAATTCATCACCATCTGCCGGTGTGGTCAGCAGTTATTGACTCAATCCACATTCTGCAAATGCTATATTCCAAAGCCAGGTTTTTACCAGCTTTCTGAAAGTCAGGAGGGAAGGGGCAGATCTAATCTCTAGCAGGAGAGAGTTGCAGAGCTGAGGGGCCACCACCGAGAAGGCCCTGTCCCTCGTCCCCACCAGACGCGATTGCGAAGGAGGTGGGACTGAGAGCAGGGCCCCTCCAGAAGATCTTCTAATTAGAATTTTATTAATTTTTATATAGATTACAGCGAAAGAGTGAGAACAATAAAGTATAGGAAAGTGAGGAAATGAAGAAAAAAAGAGAAAAAAAGAAGAAACAAAAAAGTATATTACAATCCCAAATAACCCCTAAAAACAAAATTCTACAAAAATACACAAAAAACACAAAAAAAGAATAACAAAAAAAAATGACTTCCATTCCATCTTCTTGGATCATATCTTCTTATTATTCAAAAATATAAAATAAGTTCAGAAGATCTTAACAACCTTGATGGTTCATAGGGGAGAATCCGTTCGGACAGGTAAATAGGGCCAGAGCCGTTTAGGGATTTATAGGGATTTATTTATAGGGATTTATTATTATTATTATTATTATTATTATTATTACTATTATTATTATCTCCTGTTTCAGGCTCTTTTGTTACCTCTGAGAGTATATTTTGTTATCCTGTGTTAATAATGTAATCATCGTTACTGTATCAAACCTGCATATAATTTAGAATTTTGTGCAACATACCCTATTTACTTGAATATAACACTCACCTTTTTTTGGCTAAATGACCTTCCCAAAATCGGGGTGCGCATTAGATTCGTGTAATCTTAGTGCTGAGCCAAAGCCAAAGGGGAAGCTGTTTGAGGAGTGCCGGGAGCTTCTATTTGAGGGATGTCATCTCTAATTTAATGGCCATAGTTCAATGCTCTGCAATTCTGAGAGTTGTAGTTTGGTCAGGCATCAGCATTCTTTGCAGAGTAGGGTAAAGACATTGTAAAACCATAGCCCCCATGACTCCTTAGCATTGAACCTGCCGGGGTAAATAAACAAAACACCTGCTGGGTAGGTATGTGAATTGTAGTTTCTTCACATCCTCCCTGAGTTGAGCAAGGGACTAATTGTCTCAAGGCAAGTGAGATCAAACCAAAACACTGCAGAGTCTTTATCTGTAGTTAGCAGAGATTTACAGCATAGTCTCTGACCCTGTTTGTTGCTCACTGCTTTAATAAGACAGTTGAGCTCTGGTTTTCATCCAAACTTTAATATTCACTTGTTACTTATGTATAGCTATGTATAACATGCCAAAGAGTCTGCGTTGGAAGTGGACATGCACATGTCTGCCACTTACTTTTATACGCATAGGGACAACAGGAAATGATGCAATTCTCGTCATGCCTGTCAGATGGTCATGACTCAGCCGTCCCTCTAGATCAGTGGTTCTCAACCTTTCTAACACCATGACCCCTAAATATGGTTCCTCATGTTGTGGTGACCCCCAACCATAAAATTTTCGTTGCTCCTTTATAATTGTAACTTTGCTACTGTTATGAATTGTAACGTAAATATCTGATATGCAGGATTATTATTATTATTATTATTATTATTATTATTTCCATATTGTTTTCATTGTTACAAATTCAACATAAAATTTGTTGAATTTGTAAAAAAAAAGTTCACCTACATCTGGATAGCATTGTGAACCCAAACAACAATGGATCTGGACCATACGTGGCACAAATACTCAATATGCCTAAATTTGATTTGAACACTGGTGGAGTTTGGTGAAAATAGACTCTGGCATTTGGGAGTTGCAGTTGCTTTGATGTATAGTTTCCATGCCATTAAAGAGCCTTCTGAACTTCACCAACAATTGAATTGAACTAAACTTGGCATACAGAATTCCCATGACCAAAAGAAAATGCTGCAGAGGTTTGGGGCCAAAGGAGGCAGCCTCGCGACCCCTCCGAAATGGCCAAATGACCCCCCTGGGGGTCGCGACCCCCAGGTTGAGAACCACTGCTCTAGATCCACATCTCCAATTGCTTAACACTTTAATGGAATGTGCTGTGACCACATGACTATTAGAACTGTATTTTTCACACAGTTATGCACAATGGAGTTAACAGACAACACATTTCTATCTAACACAGAACCAAGGCAATTAAAGCGGATTAATTCTACAGCAGAGATGCATCCCAAGGTTCTCCTTGAATTCGCTCTAAGTTTTTGTGTTCTAACATTTTTTGTTTTTAAATAAGGAACTCTAAGCAATGGCCAGATGTCAAAGAGGGAACTTTATGCTGCTGTGCATTACATTTGGCAACAAACACTTTTTTTGCTTTCGGGGTTTTGACCATTGAGATGCGCATTAGATTTGATGGTGCATTCGAGTAAATAAGGTAATTAGGAAATGCTAGGTGGATGAGACCGGATGTTGAAAGGTTGTATTCTTTTCCATTCTTTCTCCAGATATATTCTGGGCCGCCTGAAGACAACGCCGCACCACCAGTGCCTCCTCCACGCGTGGCCACTCGGCGCCACAAGCCCATCACCATCTCCAAGCGTCCGCTGCGGGAGAGACCGGTCTTCTTTGGCGGCTCCGTGGAAGAAGGCGAAGGTTGGTGGGGCTTGTATGTGTTTCCGTGTCTATATGCCAAAGAGTGATCTGGTGGTCAGGATCCAAAGATCTGGGTTTGTTTTCCTGTGGCACAAAGCTTGGGAGGAAACACTCAAATGATGTCCTCCACCATCACCATGTCGCAACAAGTTTCTTGCTTTTCAGAAATGCCCCTGGGATAATCTTGCAAACAGGTCTTTTTGGTCCCAGCTGGAAAAAGTCAGGAGACATCATCTTCAGAACTTCCCAGTTTGGTGCACTAAATGAGATACGTCTGCCCCAGGAGTAAGAGAACCACAGAGATTGGCAGGTGGAAAGTGATATGAGGTCGTAAATAGTTTGAGTAAATAGCTAGAGACGCAGTAAATCACTTGGAAACACAAACACGGGTTGTTTATCTCAGCGGCCAAGTTTCGAGAGAGTCACCCAGTACAGTTGTGGTATTCAGGCGGATAGCAAACCGGGTCCTTCTCCTAAGTCATAAATCCAGGAAACTATTTCCTGTGAGATCCTGAGCATTAGGCAATTCCAAGAGTTTGCAGTGACAAATACTCAGAGCAAGGCAAGGGATTCAGAGACCTATCCTCTCATACTTTTCTTAGAAGAGTCCCGTGCATAGGTTGGCATGCAAAGATTTCAATGCATATATGTCCTCCCTGCAACTTGGAACTTGTCTTGCTACTTTGGCCCATTATTTCTTCTTACTCTTTGGGTTCCCTTCTGTAGAGCTTGGCCAAAGCCCGACTCCAAATGGCATGGTCATGCCCCACTACAACGAAGCCCCCAAGCCACTCCAACGCAACCGGTTGCCTTTGCCCCGGTCGGGAGAGTTGGACTCCGCAAAACCCGTCTTGGATGGCAAGTCGGAACAGTGCGCAGAGGTAGATGTGGGGAAACTGGTGTCCCGGCTCCAAGATGGTGGAACAAAGTTTGCCCACAAAGCCGCCAATGGAGTGGCGCCAGTTCCTGGCTGCCCGAAGGCCTCCAATCTCCATGTGAAACGGCCAGCTCCGAGACCTGGGATGATGGTCAAAGAAGGTGAGTCTGAGTTGCAGGCTCAAGTGGGTGGGTGATGGTCAAAGAAGGTGAGTTTGAGTTGCAGGCGCAAGTGGGTGGGTGATGGTCAAAGAAGGTGAGTCTGAGTTGCAGGTGCAAGTGGGTAGGTGATGGTCAAAGTAGGTGAGTCTGAGTTGCAGGCACAAATGGGTGGGTGATGGTCAAAGAAGGTGAATCTGAGTTGCAGGTGCAAGTGGGTAGGTGATGGTCAAAGTAGGTGAGTCTGAGTTGTAGGCACAAATGGGTGGGTGATGGTCAAAGAAGGTGAATCTGAGTTGCAGGTGCAAGTGGGTGGGTGATGGTCAAAGTAGGTGAGTCTGAGTTGCAGGCACAAATGGGTGGGTGATGGTCAAAGAAGTTGAGTCTGAGTTGCAGGCACAAATGGGTGGATGATKGTCAAAGAAGGTGAATCTGAGTTGCAGACGCAAGTGGGTGGGTGATGGTCAAAGAAKGTGAGTCTGAGTTGCAGGCTCAAGTGGGTGGGTGATGGTCAAAGAAKKTGAATCTGAGTTGCAGGTGCAAGTGGGTGGGTGATGGTCAAAGAATGTGAGTCTGAGTTGCAGGCTCAAGTGGGTGGGTGATGGTCAAAGAAGGTGAGTCTGAGTTGCAGATGCAAGTGGGTGAGTGATGGTCAAAGAAGGTGAGTCTGAGTTGCAKGCGCAAGTGGGTGGGTGATKGTCAAAGAAGTTGCAGGTGCAAGTGGGTAGGTGATGGTCAAAGTAGGTGAGTCTGAGTTGCAGGCACAAGTGGGTGGGTCGTTCTTTTTGTTCAGTTGTGGTTGCCTTTCCTGATGGCCGATATTTATAACGTTGCCAACCCAGGTGAGTCCGAAAGCTTCGTCAAAGCACGATCACCTGGAGAGAAGCCGGTGATCACACGTCCCCCAATGAGACCCCCGGATCCTCCGTGCAAAGTCCCTACACCCCAGAAACCGGAGCCAAAGCCTGATCTGATCGTTGGAGGGCCTGGGGAGGCATCTTCCTCTGTGTGAGTATCCCACTAGAATTGGGTGGGATGGACTTCTGACCAATGACCTGCAGGAAACTTGAGAAAAAATATCTCCTGTCTCTCTGGCCACTGCCTCCAATTTACATTTATTTGACCTGGCTAATAAACAAAGACCTTTCCTACATATATGCCTATTTTGAAGGCATATATGTTAACAATCTGATGCAGTCATTAAAGATGTCATTCTTCCCTACTTTTCTTCCCAAACAAAGCAATTAGTAATGCTTAGGATTGTCTTCATGCTATGAAACATTTAGGCAAGCTGGGACCTATTTTGTGCAAAATTCACACTTTGATGCTTTTTGTGCAGAACTTTTTGCGCAGAATTGATTGTTTTATGGAAGATGGAGCCATCTTGTTCTCTGCTGCTCCAGGGTGCATCTACACCGTGGGCTTGATGCAGTTTGACCTCACTTTAACTGCCATGGCTCAGTGCTATGGAATCACAAGAGCTTTCGTCTTTTAGACTTCTCTGCCAAAAAAACTCACCAAACTACGAGTTTGGCTTTATTGTTACATGAAAAGCGAATGGATCTGTGTTGGTATTTTTTTTTTTCAGAGTGGCCTCCAGAACAAAATTCTTCGAGTCAGCTTCTTTCAGGAGAGGCAGGTAAGGAGTGGATGGGGGGCTTTCAACCTTTACGAAAAGTGAGGCATTCTGGGATTGGGAGTGGAAATTCTCCAAAGCTATTTAGGACTTCTGCTGAAATCAGGGATCAGAAAAGTCATGCTCCCCATGCTCTATTCCGCTTTGGTTAGACCACTTTACCTGGAATATTGTTTCCAATTTTGGGCACCACAATTCAAGAGAGATATTGACTCTAAGCTGGAATGTGTCCAGAGGAGGGCGACTCAAATGATCAAGGGTCTGGAGAACAAGCCCTATGAGGAGCGGCTTAAGGAGCTGGGCATGATTAGCCTGAAGAAGAGAAGGCTGAGAGGGGATATGATAGCCATGTATAAATATGTGAGAGGAAGCCACAGGGAGGAGGGAGCAAGCTTGTTTTCTGCTTCCCTGGAGACTAGGACACAAGGGAACAATGGCTTCAAACTACAAGAAAGGAGATTCCATCTGAACATGAGGAAGAACTTCCTGACTGTGAGAGCCGTTCAGCAGTGGAACTCTCTGCCCAGAGTGTGGTGGAGGCTCCTTCTTTGGAGGCTTTTAAACAGAGGCTGGATGGCCATCTGTCAGGGGTGCTTTGAATGCAATATTCCTGCTTCTTGGCAGAATGGGGTTGGACTGGATGATGGCCCAGGAGGTCTCTTCCAACTCTAGGATTCTTTGATTCTATGTATTCAGGATATTGCATTTTAATGCTCCATTAGTAGAGAGATACATTCATCTACATTAGCCATGAATTCTGTAATTTGGGAATTGTTTTGTTCGATGGCTAATATGGAAAATTGCTAGAAATGGCACCCAAAATGTGAAAAAGTAAAGTTGGAGAGATGAGTGATTGCTTCTCAAAATACAGTTGGAATTGATTGTTCAGAAATGTTTACTTCTATGGGTTTGCTTTTCCCCACAATTTCCTATTCCCACAACCTTGCACAACAATGTACATCCCACAATAAAACAAGGGTTGTACTGTATAATTATACAATAGGAATGAGCAAGTAGCTCTGAGAGGCTGTTTTCTGGCTTCCAGAAGCAGGCAAATCATTTCCCCAAAGCTCCCAACTTCCCTGGGCGAGTATTGTATATCACTTAGGGCTTTTTCAGACCCAGCTGTTTCCCCAACTAATGGAAATATGAACACACAAGTGTAACGCAAACCACTTTTAATTGGTGGAAAGACCAGAAACTTTGCTTCTTCATCACGGGAGGAAGTCTGCAAACTCTTGTTAGGATGTTTCTCAGCACCATCAGCCTCCAGATCTTTCTTCTTGCAGGAAAAAGAAGGAATAAGAAACATTGTTTGTTTTCTGTTGGGAAAAGAAAACATACGCTATGTACACATTGCAATTGATAATCCACCCACAAACACAATTGTTGTTGTTCATTCGTTCAGTCGTCTCCGACTCTTCGTGACCTCATGGACCAGCCCACGCCGGAGCTCCCTGTCGGCCGTCACCACCCCCAGCTCCTTCAAGGTCAGTCCAGTCACTTCAAGGATGCCATCCATCCATCTTGCCCTTGGTCGGCCCCTCTTCCTTTTGCCTTCCACTTTCCCCAGCATAATTGTCTTCTCTAGGCTTTGCTGTCTCCTCATGATGTGGCCAAAGTACTTCAACTTTGTCTCTAGTATCTTTCCCTCCAGCGAGCAGCCGGGCTTTATTTCCTGGAGGATGGACTGGTTGGATCTTCTCGCAGTCCAAGGCACTCTCAGAACTTTCCTCCAACACCACAGCTCAAAAGCATCGATCTTCCTTCGCTCAGCCTTCCCTAAGGTCCAGCTCTCACATCCGTAGGTGACTACAGGGAATACCATGTAGTAACCTACGGATGTGAGAGCTGGACCTTAGGGATTAGAAAAGGATTAGAAAACACAATTAGAAAAGAAAATTCTTCCCCGCAAGCTCTGGTTCCCTCAGTGAGTTTCCAAACTTTTATTCAAGGGTGTTCCTCAATATATATATAAGGTTTGAAGAACCTATGTGTGAAGATACTAGCCAATTGTACAAAGGTGCGTTGCTGAGGTTGGCAATGGCAGGGTCCAATAATGGAGGTACTTTACCTCAGGCACTTTTTAATCCCACCGCTGCCACCAATTGAAGATGCGCAAACCAATTGTACAGGTGTGGATGATTATGGAGGGAATTAATCTCAGGCCTCAATTGTGTATAAGAATATATTATAGAGGAGGCCAATTATTACTTGTAAATTAAGGTAACTGCCACCAACGTGAGGTATTTGAGGTACCACCGATGAGATCTGGCTCTACAGACGCAGGTTAGATGAGATGAGACGTTTTTAACAAAAGATAACAAGTTTATTGTGTACAAAGCGTATGGTTGCAGGCTGTTAAATAACTTATAGAACTTTGAATATCACTTGGTTTTAATACAGTCCACTCTTTCAAATAACACAGCTCATGGCCAACTTTTACTGAGGTGAAGCTCTTTAGTGAACAATGTTTCCTACTATGAATAGCCTTCCAATTTGATCTTTCCTTGATCAAATCTCTGATCTCTAGTCCTTCCTTGACTAGGGATCTTAACAAGCTTCCTTTAGTCTTCCTTGACTAAAGAAACTGGCCAGGTTTCTCTCTTCAGCCCTCCTAGACTGAAAAACCTCCAGCTGCTCACATACAAGCCTCTCTCTCAGGCTTTTCAAGCCTCCACTCTCTCTCACACTGGCCCTTTTCCAAAGACGCACATAACTTTTCCTGCTTGGCTCCGCCAACTTCTCACTCATAGAATCATAGAATCAAAGAGTTGGAAGAGACCTCATGGGCCATGGGTGATATGTTGGGATTCTGGGCAAGTGCAATGTGCAGAGAGTCTTAAGCTCTAATAAAGTGCTTCTGGGACGTAGTGCTGGAGGTTATTCTATTCCGGAAAGGTACATCGGAATAGCCATGTCTTCAAGTTCTTCCTAAAGACTGCCAACGTGGGTGCTATTCTAATGTCTTTGGGGAAGGTGTTCCAAAGTCGGGGGCAACCACAGAGAAGGCCCTGTCCCTCGTCCCCACCAAACGCGCCTGCGACGCAGGTGGGATCACGAGCAGGGCCTCTCCGGATGAACGAAGGGAGCGCATGGGTTCATAAACGGAGATGCGGTCACACAGGTAGGCAGGTCCCAAACCGTTTAGGGCTTTGAAGGTAAGCACCTGCACCTTCTGAGAGTGCCTTGGACTGGGAGAAGATCCAACCAGTCCATCCTCCAGGAAATAAAGCCCGACTGCTCACTGGAAGGAAGGATACTAGAGACAAAGTTGAAGTACTTTGGCCACATCATGAGGAGACAGCAAAGCCTAGAGAAGACAATTATGCTGGGAAAAGTGGAAGGCAAAAGGAAGAGGGGCCGACCAAGGGCAAGATGGATGGATGGCATCCTTGAAGTGACTGGACTGACCTTGAGGGAGCTGGGGGTGGTGACGGCCGACAGGGAGCTCTGGCGTGGGCTGGTCCATGAGGTCACGAAGAGTCAGAGATGACTGGACAAATGAACAACAACAACAACCTGCACCTTGAATTGTGCTCGGTAGGTAAATGGCAGCCAGTGGAGCTCCTTAAACAGGAGAGTTGTCCTCTCTCTATAAGGGGCCCCAGTTAACATCCTGGCCGCCGCCCGTTGAACCAGTTGTAATTTCCGAGCCGTTTTCAAGGGCAGCCCCACATAGAGCACATTACAGTAATCCAATCTAGAGGTGACCAAGGCATGGACCACCCCGGCCAGTTGGAGATCTTGTTGCAAAGCTTTTCTTGTGGCATTCAAGGAGATTTCTATTTGTAAGCCATTTTTGCACCTGCTTTCTTAACCATTTTTTTCTCCTTTTCTTTCCAGCTCTTCTTCGCCTCAAGGCAGGCTCCCGAGCGACGAAGGCTGAGGCCCAAATGGTAGGCTTCATTTTTCACCAAAAAAAGAACCAGGAGAACATGGTTACTGCGGGTGGGCTCTTTCTTGCGGGAAAGATGGGAGATAAGAGTGGAACGATCCCAACATAAGATTTGTGTTTAATAGGAGGGCGCACGACTCAAAAAACCTTCTTCATTTGTTTTAACAAAAATTACGCAACCCATATATATATTTGCTTGGGTACCTGGCATTGCCCAGGTTATTTGAAAAAGTTGATTTTGTAATTTTTACAAAATGCATAATTTTGTGAGTGAACTACAACTCACATCATGCCAGGTTAATAATAATAATAATAATAAACCTTTATTTATACCCAGCTACCATCTCCCGAAGGACTTGATGCGACTTATAAGAGGCCGAGCCCAAATACATTAGTAAAAACAGCTACAACAGCAATGCAGACAATAAATAAACTCATAAACAAAGCAATAAACAGTAACAATAACACCATGACGCATTAAAAACCTATGGCAGGGCCAAATGTAATAATTAATTTTTTTAAAAAATGCTGGGCATGACAAGGTGACATATAACAATAGGCTTGGGCGGTTTCGTTCGTTAATTTCGTAATTCGTTCTTAATTCGTATTTAAATTAGCTTACGATCCAATATTGAGCCATGCAGGAATAGTGTGAGGAGTAAATTAGATTCGAAACAATTTTTTCAATTTATTTCGTAATAATTTCGTAATTATTTCGTAATTATTTTGTAATTATTTCGTAATTATTTTGTAATTATTTTGTAAGTTTTATAGTTGTTTTTTGTTTTATCACACCAACAGTCAACAACAGAGGGAGAGGGAAGCTTCAGAAGTTCCCCCTGTCCCATTTGGAGGTTTTTTAGCATATTGCGCAATCGCGTCCGCCATTAACGAATCGATTCGTAATTATACGAAATTTCGTAAATTTTGAAAATTTTTAAAAGGAAAATTTCGGAATTCTTTTAAAAAACGAAACGCGATGGACCCCTAAAAACGAAACAAGTTTAGAAACAATTTTTCCATTGTTACTCAAGCCTAATAACTAGGATAGGTACTTGGAGAGAGATGGAACGAGCAGACAATCTTAGATCATTAGTAAAGTGCGATTAGGGACATGTTGCTTAGGGTTTCCTTATTCTGGGAAGGCACACTGGAACAACCACGTTTCCAGCCCCCTGAAACTCCATCAGTACTTAAAGTTTGTTGTGTTGGGCAAGTTTGCTCTAGATGCATCATTGGTGGGGTTGAGTGTATTCTACATCTCCCACTATGGTGAGTCAGTCCCCTCAAACCCCTCCAATAGGTTGAGTTCATCATGCGGGTTCTGTGTGCCAAGTTTGATCCAGGTTCACCATCAGTTGAAGTCACCTGGCTCGAGAGCAGTACGAGTGAAAAAGATCTTGGAGTCCTCGTGGACAACAAGTTAAACATGAGCCAGGAATGTGATGTGGTGGCAAAAAAAGCCAATGGGATTTGGCCTGCATCAAGAGGAGCCTAGTGTCTAGATCTAGGGAAGTCTTGCTCCCCATGCTCTATTCCGCTTTGGTTAGACCACACCTGGAATATTGTGTCCAATTCTGGGCACCACAATTCAAGAGAGATATTGACAAGCTGGAATGTGTCCAGAGGAGGGCGACTAAAATGATCAAGGGTCTGGAGAACAAGCCCTATGAGGAGCGGCTTAAGGAGCTGGGTATGTTTAGCCTGAAGAAGAGAAGGCTGAGAGGAGATATGAGAGCCATGTATAAATATGTGAGAGGAAGCCACAGGGAGGAGGAGGGAGCAAGCTTCCTTTCCGCTTCCCTGGAGACTAGGACGCAATGGAACAATGGCTTCAAACTACAAGAGAGGAGATTCCATCTGAACACGAGGAAGAACTTCCTGACTGTGAGAGCCGTTCAGCAGTGGAACTCTCTGCCCGGAGTGTGGTGGAGGCTCCTTCTTTGGAAGCTTTGAAACAGAGGCTGGATGGCCATCTGTCAGGGGTGATTTGAATGCAATATTCCTGCTTCTTGGCAGAATGGGGTTGGACTGGATGATGGCCCAGGAGGTCTCTCCCAACTCTTTGATTCTATGATTCACACATGAATCACAACTCCCAGAAATTAAGGTCAGCCCAAACCCCTCCAGTAATCAAATTTCAGTATATCGCATATGTGTGCCTGTTTTTCACTCCTTGCGTTCTCAGGCTTAATCTATTTTCCTGGGAAAACTCCCCATGTGCTCAAGGCCTTTTTTCTCAAGGGGACTGGAATTTTCACTTTCCTCTGTTGCCTGGGAATGAGCACAGGAATCCAAAACATCGCCCACATCTTCCTGTAATTCTCTCACAGACTCCTCATTTTGAAACCCATCACGCCCTGATCCGTCAGAAAATTCCTCTGGTGCTTGCTGGACTACAACAATAACCAGTACATCCTTTCCCCAAGGATGAGTTGCCTGAGGGCTGAGAAAAGCGGTATATAAATAAAGTACATAAATAATAAAAATAAATAAATAAGTTTCAGAAAGATTTGTTCATCCAATGATTTTTAAGGAATTTTAAAATGTTTGCTCTAATTTTTTAAAAAAACCCAAGAGATATACCTTCTGGATTTTTTTTCTGAAACAATAGAAGGAGCAGAGCATAATTCCTGCCATCGTTCAGAAAGATCCCCTCATCCAACAATTTTTAGGATTTTTTTTTAAAAAATTATCTCCTAATTTTTTTATCATATCACATGCAACTTGAGGAACTGCAAGTCGCTTCTGGTGTAAGAAAATTGGCCGTCTACAAGGGGATTGCCCAGGGGATGCTCGGATGTTTGATCATCCTCGGAGGCTTTTCTCATGTCCCTGCACAGGAAGCTGGAGCTGTCAGATGGGAGCTCACCCCATCTCGCGATTTGAACCACTGACCATCTGGTCAGCAGTTCAGCCAGCACAAGGGTTTAATCCATTACGCCACTGTGACTAATGAGAGGAGGAGACAAACACAGCCTGCAGGGGAAAAAAACACAGGTGCAGTTGTTGTTCCCAAATCCCTGGGATTGGAAGTCCAAACTGTAGTTGGCTGAGAAGGAGCATGTGATGCATCTCCCCCCGTCTTTCCCTTTTATCCCATTCAGTCTCAGTCTACTTTGGAAAAAAATCAATGATACATTAACTATTTTTCTCCAGAATCCCCAAGGGAACAATTTTACGGCGGGGCTCAATTTAGAATTGTAGATACAGTTCGTTAGTACAAATTTATACAACTTACTAATTGCCTTCTGAAATTTTGCACAGCCCTAATGTTTACTGTCCTTTGGTGAGACTGATATAGAAGGTATCTGAGAGGTCTGTTCTTCTGAGCATTGAGACCTTCCTTGTCTTCTTCCCTCAGACGTTTTCCGTTCCCGTCCTGGCTGGTTCCAGGTTGGTTGGTTCTAGATCTTCTGATGTTCTCCAGAACCATGTCCTTGGAGACTTCTGCTGCTGCGGGAGAAGTGGGAGAATAGTTCCACCTTGGTGTTGGGAAGACACACCGTTGGCTCGATCTCTCCTCGTTTCTGCCGTTTCTTGTGTCCAAAGAGCATGGCTTGGCATGCCCATGTTTGCATGATGCAGCTGGATAGTCAACAGTGCAGAGCCATTCCAACACGCTTCTCCTGCCATCATCTCCTTGACCGTGAAGACATTCCTTGATGTTGATGCACTGGCCATGTCGGGTTACGTCCTCCACCCTCTTTTCTATCTTAATTTGTACAGACTCGAGGTGTCATGTGTTGTATATATCGTTCAGACATGTGGCAACAATTCCACTGTTGATGGAAGGCAGAAGACGCAGATGGGCCCATCTCTCAGCCAAGCTTCCATCCATCTTCGCTCTTTGGCTTCGGGGCGGGAATGCAGACAACCTTTCTCTGCTCTTCATATGAATGTGAAGTCTTTTCAAGCTCCGGCTCTCCGAATGGCACCAGGAGGCTGGAAGAATCTCTCTCACGTTCCATCTGATGGCATTTTTGGTAACCTCCAAAGCAGCTGTCGCTCATGGAGAGGGAAGAGGTCCAAATACCTTTCCTTTGGCTCCTTTTCGACGTGAGGAATGGCTTCCAGCTTGACTTGGACTGAGACAAGATGATTGTTCTGTGACATTATTTTATAAATATACATCATTGCCTTGCCAGCAGCCCTGCCATTGGTGTAAGAGAGGGACCATTGGGATGCCAGTTTCTTTTGCTTACACACACAGCAGATTTGGGGCAATGGCAGAGGGATTTGACACATTTCATCCCAATGGCTCATTTTCCTGGACTCAACATGGGTCCTTGTGGTAAAGAGTGGATTTTTGGAGCAATAGGTGTTGCTCTGAGATCATGTCTTAACCCCAAAAGGCCACCCAATTTGGGGTGTGAGAGTCAATTTCGATATGCATTAGATTCAGGAGAACCTTTCTTCTTTTTCCAATGGGGAATGGCTTGGAGATCAACATTTTGTTACACTTAGGAGTGAAAAAATGGGGGTCATTTGGGGGGGGGGGGGGTTCAAATGTAATTAAATTATATTGGAGACATTTAGTGACAGTCAATTTGTGGGGGGGGGGGGGGGGGGGGGTTCAAATGTAATTAAATTATATTGGAGACATTTAGTGACAGTCAATTTGTGGGGGGGGATGCAGTGAAAATACCGAGGTCCAATGTCCCTTGGGGGGTCCAATTTTGGTACCTACATTCCAAAGTATTGCTCTCCCATTTTCTTTACAGATTCTCCATTCCATCCAATGTTTACCAGGAAAAGCCCTTCTATGGACTCCGTTGCTTTGATAGAACATGATTGGAGTCTCCACACAGTTTTTGGGAACCAAACACACATGGTCTAGATCAGACATGGGCAAACTTTGGACCTTCCTCCAGATGTTTTGAACTTCAACTCCCACCATTCTTATCAGCCTCAGGCCCTTTCCTTTTCCCCTTCAGCAACCTCAGTCCTTTTCCTTTTTCCCCTCGGCAGCCTCAGGCCTTTTCTTTTTTTCCCCCTCAGCAGCCTCAGTCCTTTTCATTTCCCCCCTCATCAGCCTCAGTTTTTCCTCTCCCCCCTCAGCAGCCTCAGTCCTTTTCCTTTCCCCCCTCATCAGCCTCAGTCCTTTTCCTTTTCCCCCTTCATCAGCCTCAGTCCTTTTCCTTTCTCCCCTCAGCAGCCTCAGTCCTTTTCCTTTTTCCCCTCAGCAGCCTCAGTCCTTTCCCTTTCCCCCCTCAGCAGCCTCAGTCCTTTTCCTTTCCCCCCTCAGCAGCCTCAGTCCTTTTCCTTTCCCCTCAGCAGCCTCAGTCCTTTTCCTTTTCCCCCTCAGCAGCCTCAGTCCTTTTCCTTTCCCTCCTCATCAGCCTCAGTCCTTTTCATTTCCCCCCTCAGCAGCCTCAGTCCTTTTCACCCTCAGCATCCTCAGTCCTTTCCCTTTCCCTCCTCAGCATCCTCAGTCCTTTTCACCCTCAGCAGCCTCAGTCCTTTCCCTTTCCCTCCTCAGCATCCTCAGTCCTTTTCACCCTCAGCAGCCTCAGTCCTTTCCCTTTCCCCCCTCAGCATCCTCAGTCCTTTTCACCCTCAGCAGCCTCAGTCCTTTTCCCTTTCCCCCCCTCAGCAGCCTCAGTCCTTTTCTTTTCCTCCCTCAGCAGCCTCAGTCTTTTTCCTTTTCCCCTTCAGCTGCCTCCGTCCTTTTCATTTCCCCCCTCAGTAGCCCCAGTCCTTGTCCTATTCCCCCTCAGCAGCCTCAGTCCTTTCCCCTTCAGCAGCCTCAGTCCTTTTCCTTTTCCCCCTCAACAGCCTCAGTCCTTTTCCTTTCCCCCCTCACCAGCCTCAGTCCTTTCCTTTCCCCCCTCAGCATCCTCGTCCTTTCCCCCCTCAGCAGCCTCTGTCCTCTTTCCTTTCCCCCCTCAGCAGCCTCTGTCCTTTTCCTTTTCGCCCCTCAGCAGCCTCAATCCTTTTCCCTTTCCCCTCAGTAGCCACAGTTCTTGTCCTATTCCCCCTCAGCAGCCTCAGTCCTTTTCCTTTTCCCCCTCAGTAGCCACAGTTCTTGTCCTTTTCCTCAGCAGCCTCAGTCCTTTTCCTTTCCCCCCACAGCAGCCTCAGTCCTTTTCCTATTCCCCCTCAACAGCCTCAGTCCTTTTCCTTTTCCCCTCAGTAGCCCCAGTCCTTTTCCTTTTCCCTCTCAGCCGCTTAAGCTAAGGGGGAAGGAAGGGACCTGAGGCTGTTAGGAATAATGGGAGGTGAAGTCCAAAACATCTGGAGGGAGGCCTGAAGTTGGCCCATACCTGGTCTTGATGGTGCACTTGAGTCGTCCTTCTCAGGCAACACTTTCCCGAAAGCACTGCCCATTTTCTGTCTTTGGTCCTGCTTTCCTTCCAAGGCATAATGTTGGCTTTTGCAAGAGTTTGGGAGAACTTGCTCCTTGTTACCTTCAGACACATGTTATGTTCAGTCTCATAAGTTTGCCTAAGACAATTAAAAAGTGCACTGCACACTGAGTTGGATCTTATCTCTCTATGCTCTTCTTCATATCCAACCGCTTGACATGAATCCTTTGGGGTTGCTTTAGTTGTGTTTCCCTGCATTGCACTGTAAAAGGTGGACCCCAGAACGGGTGGGGAAGGGCTATTGAGGACCCCAAAACCAGATCAGGGATGCTGATCCCTCCAAATGATCTGCCAATATTGTGGTTGATCCTCTTTCAGCTAGTGTAATGATCAAGCATGAAGAAATATCAGTATCAATGCTTGTCAAATCATGGTTGCCCTGGGAATCATGAAGGTTACCTGTCCATCTTTTCTCTGCCGATGTCTTTGAGAGTAAGTGACACTGAACCCATGAGAGATATGTCTATGCAGACACATGCGTTTCTGCATGGAGTGATTTCCCATTTTGGGAATGTGTTAATAAAATGATGCACAGAAATAGTTTCTTTTCTTCCTGGTATGTGGGGATAAACCCACCAAATGTTTACAATCCTTCCAAAGCAGAGACCCCAGATTGGCTTGGATTGCAGCTCCCATGATTCCACATCAACGTAGCTAATGGTGAGGGATGATGGGCGCAGCAGTCAAGCAACATCTGGAAGAACACACTTTGACCATCCTTCCTAGTCTTTTTCAAAGCTTTGTTGTTTCTGGGTTGGCTTGTTTTGGACCAAACAAAGAAGCAAAAAGGGATCAGGCTAAACTCATTATCCTCAACCCATCATTCCAAGGAATCAGATCAAGAGTTGTGCAAAAAGTTGTAGTCAGCGTTTACGGTGAAACCCCAAAAGATACAGTGGAGATGAACTCAACAGCCTTTGGTATGTGAAAGGAGGTCCTTTTCTGCTGAATCCTTGGGGTTATTTCCTCTACATAAAGATCTGGGGACCATATTGATAATCAGGATCGCTTTCCTGTGTTTACATCTGTGTATCTGGTGCCTGCTTTTATTCCAGATGTCCTGCAATTCAGCTCAGTATTCCGTGAATGTCCAAGCACTTAAGATCTCTCCCACCTGATGTGTTGTGTTGGTGAAAATGTGTAGAATAGTTGTAATGTTGCTTATAAAGTTTCCATGGATTAAAAAAACAAAACCCTTGTCTGTGGATGTTATTTCTGAAGGCTTAAAGGTGTGCCATCTAAATACAATGCAGAATGTGGCAAGGAATATCTGGATGCATGTATGCAAAAGTTGCTAGATAGTTAATCCAGTTCAGTGAAGGGTTTCCAGAAGGATTAAGGGAGCAGAAATAGGGAAGTTGTCATCTCGTACATACAGGAAGTCAATAGTCCACGCTAGGCTTGGGCAGTTTCGTTAGTTAATTTCGTAATTCGTTATTAATTCGTATTTAAATTAGCTTACGATACAATATTGAGCCATGCAGGAATAGTGTGAGGAGTAAATTAGATTCGAATTTTTCCAATTTATTTCGTAATTATTTCGTAATTATTTCGTAATTATTTCGTAATTATTTTGGCATGTCTGGTGCAAGTTTTATAGTTGTTGTTTGTTTTATCACACCAACAGTCAACAACAGAGGGAGAGGGAAGCTTCAGAAGTTCCCCCTGTCCCATTTGGAGGTTTTTTTTAGCATATTGCGCAATCGCGTCCGCCATTAACGAATCGATTCGTAATTATACGAAATTTCGTATATTTCAAAATTTTTAAAAGGAAAATTTCGGAATTATTTAAAAAAACGAAACGCAATGGACCCCTAAAAACGAAACGAGTTTAGAAACAAATTTTTCCGTTGTTACCCAAGCCTAGTCCACACACATTAAATACTAGGCCTGTGTGATCAATGAAATAATAATAATAATAATAATAATAATAATAATAATAATAATAATACCACCACACCTGGTATATAATTAGACCACACCTGGAATATTGTGTCCAATTCTGGGCACCACAATTGAAGAGAGATATTGACAAGCTGGAATGTGTCCAGAGAGGGCGACTCAAATGATCAAGGGTCTGGAGAACAAGCCCTATGAGGAGTGGCTTAAGGAGCTGGGCATGTTTAGCCTGAAGAAGAGAAGGCTGAGGAGACGTGATAGCCATGTATAAATATGTGGCAGGACAGCTACAGCAATTCTTAGATGAGACTGCGGGTTTGGACCCCTTTCAATCAGGGTTTCGTTCAGGTCATGGGACTGAGACTGTCTTGGTAGCGATTACTGACGGAATTCGTCGTCAGTTAGACGTAGGTGGATCAGCTCTATTGGTACTCTTGGACCTCACAGTTGCATTCGACACCATGGACCATGACTTGCTGATTCATCAATTGCCTATGTCTGGTGTACGAGGAGGTTTATCCCTGAAATGGTTCAATGCGTTCCTCCGGGACTGGAGACAGAGGGTGGAGTGGTGAGGCCAAAGCTCTGAGAGCTCCTGCCTTTGCTGTGGAGTGAGTCCCCCAGGGTGCCATCCTCTCACCCCTGCTATTTAACATCTATGTCCGGCCACTTGCTGGACTGGTGCCGAGCTTGGCACAGAGTGCTACCAGTATGCAGATGATACCCAGCTACTCTTGCGTCTCGAACCTGGGACAACCACGATTCCTGAGAACTTTAGGCTGTGTTTGGAAGCAGTGAGGAGTTGGCTGCGAGCGAGCAGACTCAAAGGGAATCCTGCAAAAACGGAGATTCTCTGGCCTGGTCAGCCGCCAGAATTAACCCAGTCTCTGCCTGATTTGGATGGGGAAGCTCTGGTTCCGCCTGCCACTGTTCAAAGCCTTAAAGGGGTTGTGTTGGACTCATTGCTGACGAGGAGGCCCAGATCACTGCCATAAGGAAGCAGGCCTTTTCTCATCTTCGCCAGGCAAGGACATTGGCATCTGACCAGGCCCATAGCCAGGATTTCTATTCGAGGGGGGGGGGGGGGGGGGGAATTTTTTTCAGGGGGGGTTGGGGGGGGGGCTGAGTGGGGGGGGGGGAGTCTGAGTGAAAGAGGGTCTAGCCTAGCAAACCTTTGTATCATTACCCCAATACCCCCATGCATATGGGAT